AACACGGGGCGCCGCGGCCGCGCTGCCGGCACCGCCCGGAGCGCCGGTGAGTGCCCGGGGACAGCGCGGGGACAGCGGCACAGGTGGCCGCGGGGGCGGAGGGAGCGGCGCTGGCGGGCGGGACGGGGCAGGGACGGAGCTGGGACGGGACTGGGACAGAGCTGGGACGGGGCTGGGATAGAGCTGGGACGGGACTGGGACGGGGCTGTCCCGGCCCGTCCTCTCCGCGCTGCCGGGCTTTCCCCGCGGGAGCCGCGCCGAGCCGGGCGCTGCCGGCGGCCGGGGAACCTCCCGGCGCTATCGGGATCCAGGCGGGCAGGGAGCCGCTCCTCGTGTCCGGAGAGGGAGCCGCCTCCCCGGGCCCGGGGCAGGCTCCGCTCTGCCCGGGAGGGATCCTCTGTCCCGGCCCGGGGCAGGCTCCGCTCCCCGGCAGCAGCCCCGAGGAGCCGGCCCGGCAGGAGCGTGCCCGGGGATATCCCCGGCAGCAGCAGCACCGGGACAGCACCGAGGCGCTGCCGCCGTCTGGAGCTCGCAGCTTGGCATTTTTTTTTTTTTTCATTTTTTGGCATTTCCTGCAGGGAAAATCCCCGGTGCCCTATCGGCAGCGGAGGTGAAGCCTTCTAGAACGCGTCCCAAGGGCGCTGCGAAGGCTTTTGGCGCTGCATCTTCTCTGTTCCGCTGGCAGGGAATTTTTGTAGCCTTTAGCAGCGTGGTGTCACGCTGGCCGCGTGTTGCCCAGATGGGATCAGCAGTAATTAATTCCCTGAGTTAAGCTGTCCACGCTGGTGCCGGTGCATCCCTTTTCTGAGAGTGCATGAATGGGAATTTAACACCCGTTCCCACTGGAGTGGAGAACCCACGAAGCCAGCTCGCTTCCTTTCTGCTGTGCTGGTGCTTCGGGATTATCAGGAACGAGAAAGAATTACTTTCTTAATTACAACGAATTAAAGGACTTGGCTGATTAAGAGTTCCAGGATTCCTCCGGCAGGATGATGTCTCTGAGTAGTTTTTCTCTGACTTTAGAACAGAGAGTTGTTTTAAGAGTGTTCCTCCCAGAGAAACAAACTGCAGTTTGGGAAACCTGAGTGAAACTCTTTGCAGTCAGTGCTACTGAGAACCCTTAGATCCAAAACTCTATAAAACTGGGCAGCAATATCCTTCTCCTGCCTTAATAATAAACTTTTTAAGGCTCTTCTCCAGACTTGAAGACCCTTTATTTGTATTTTCCTGTCTGTGAACTTGTGAGACTTCTAACGTGGCATGTGGTTTGCTTAAATTCTCTTCATCTCTTCTTATTGATACACAGTTATGATCTGGTTTTTGGGGATCAGGCTAAGAGGCTTTTGGGGTTCAGTTACAAGAACTGCTTTGATTCACGAGTGAGATACAGATCTGACCAGTTAACTCCTGGTAGAATTTGGGCCTGCCTGTTGCACATTTCATTTTCCCCATTTTTTGGTAGAATTTGGGCCTGCCTGTTGCACATTTCATTTTCCCCATTTTTGGTAGAATTTGGGCCTGCCTGTTGCACATTTCATTTTCCCCATTTTTGGTAGAATTTGGGCCTGCCTGTTGCACATTTGCGTTTTCCCAGTGAGCTGCCTGGGCTGGAGCAGTTGTGCTGAGCCCCCAGCACGCTGTGGGGAGCAGGGATGGATGTTTCGGGGGAGGATCTCTTCCTTCCCTGCTCAGGAACCCCTCTGTGGGATGGGGGCAGCTTTTAGAGCCACCCGAGAGCAGGAGCTGGGCCAGAGCTGAGCACCCAGGAGTGCTGCTGAGGTCTGGCAGCCTGCTGTGAAATTAGCCTGGTAACTAAAATAGGATAGGAAATATCTGTACAGCCCTTTGGGGCTGGTTCATTAAGAGCATCCCCATCACAAACCATCCTTTCTTATTTACACACGAGCAGCTTTGATAACTTTCTGGGCATCTCCACGTTGCAGGGGTTATTTGGTTTGTTTGCAGACACACCTGGAAGTTTTCTGTTGGAAAAGGGAACTTTGGTTCAGTTCTCTTTACTGTGCTTGAATGTTTCAGAATGTGTTTGCAGCAGATTGTGTAGCACCTGGGATGCTCTGAGTGATCTTGTGGGTACAAGACAAGGTCAGCTTGGACTTTCCCACCTTAAATTTCTTAGCTTTCAAAAATTACTAATAGCTTGCTTCTTAAAATGTTGCTTTGTCAAGGGGGATTTATGTAACAGGACAGCAAAAAGCACGAGGTAAAATACCAAAGCTCTGCTTTAAGCTTAGAATTTTCTGTGTGATGAGTTAAATCGTTGATTCTGGTTGAAGATTTGCCTGTTCAAACACATTTTCCACATGCATAACAAGCATGGTTTAAAGAAACCCCAAAATAGGGGATAAATGCATTAAAAAAAAAAAAAAAAAAAGAAAAGAAAAAAGAAAAAAGTGGTGTTTAGCCAAATAGGCTGAAGTTACTCCCAAGGTGTTGAGTTTTAAATAGGACATGATCAGTGCTGCTTGGTAATCATGGTCTAAAGTGAGCACTAAAACATTTCACATTGTAACATTTCACATTTTAACATTTCACATGGCTATCTCAATACAGGGTTTTTCTGTCCTCAAGTAGAAGCTCTGGTCCAAGCATAGCTGAAGAAATTTACATGTATTGTGCCTATTTGAGAAAATTATTGACTACAACGTGCCTATCATTGTTCTCCTTCATGGGGCAAATGTGCTTTACTCTCTCCTGTCATAAAAAAAATTAATTACATTTACCTATTTTGCCTCAAACTTCTGCTTTATCCTCCTTCCCTGTGTGTATTTACTGATTGTGCTGATCAATTGTGTTTGGATTTTCTCTTCAGTTTCACTCTCTTCCATTGAAATCAGCAGAGTCTGTTTCTTCTTGGCATTTCTGGCTCTGAATTTGGGCAGTTTTGGGGCTGTCTCTCCCCTGGTGGGAGCTGCTTTGGACCACTCTTTTCAATTCATCTTGTTTTCCCTGCACTTGTGTTTATCTACACCCGGCTCTTGATGGTTTCTCAAGTGTCTTGTTACTCATTAATTGCTTTTTCATTGTAATTAGTGGGCTTTGTTTACTAATGCTGCTCTTCTCCCTCCAGCCTGATCTGGGTGATTTCTGCAGATGGGAATTCCAGCACCAGGGTTTTCTGTCAGCCTTTCTCTCCTGGCAGGTGTAGCTGTGGCTGAGGCTGCTTTTGGTGTCCCTCGGGTGTGCTGCTGTTCTGTCAGTCCCCCTGCAATCCAGACATTGTGAGAAAACTGCTCACTTTGAAAATTTAAAAAGCTTTATTAAACTTTGACAACTGTGGTTGCCAGCACTGTGAATTTTTCCTTATCTAGTCCTTTTGTGGTAGTTTTGTCAAGGTTTAATAAACCTTTTTAAATTTTCAAAGTGAGCAGTTGTTTCTCACAGCATTGTGAGTTCTCTTTGGGATTCCATATCCAGATTGTATCCAAATCCTTCTCTTTTTGTCGTGCCTGCACTCCTGTTCTCATCACCCACTTTTGGCTTTGGTTTTGCCCCCTGGCTGGAGCTCAGGTCTGTCCTAGACCCATCCTAACTGTGTGAGATCACTGCCCAAACATCATCTTTGCTTCTCCTTCCTTCCTCTCCCTTTGCCACTCCCCCCTTTTAAAATCAAATGTAAAGTTCTTCTCTTTATCTCACTCTTCCCTGACATTTCCCCCTGTGAACTTTGGTGGCATTAAATAATTGTCTCTGCTTGGGCTGAGTGAGTGGTGCTCCTGTGAACTGAATTTCAAACAGGCAACCTCAGGGTTTGTCCCTTCCTGATGCTTGGAAGGTGCTGCATAAATCCTTGAAAACACCCAACTGTTCATTTTCTAAAGCTTTCACTTCCCTGGAGCCTTAAAAAAGAAAAAATTAAAAAAGAAAAAGGAGAAAAAACCCAAAAACATTATCAGGCATTTGTAAAGCTGAGAGTACCCTGTGTGTTTTGCGTCTTGCAAAAATGTCAGGAGAGGGAAAATGAAGGGGAGGAGAGGGGAAATGAAGTGCTGTTTCTTTACACTAATGGATATTGTGTGCTTCTGGTGTTGCATTAAAAAATGACAGGTGGGTCAGAGTTTAGGTCAGTCTGTCAGGCATCTCTGATTTCCCATTTTATGTCTTTAGTGTTTTGCAGAATGTTTCTTTGCTGCTGTGTAGGGGAGATGACTGAAAAGGGCAGCGCTGAGCGGGAGCAGAAACTGATAAATTAGAGCACTTTGGAAGATATTAAACTAATATTTGAAATAACAGTAGATAAAAATGCTTGTAAAAGTGCTTTTGGCTCCTGTCTCCTGAACCCAGCAGTCAAGACTTTGTAACCAGTGAGATTGGTTACAAAGAGATTTGTGAGATTTGCTTGGTAAACTGTTTCCAGGGGGTTTCACTCAGCTGCAGGCAGGGGAAATGCAGTTGTATCCTGCGTTTCACTCCTCCTGGCTTTCCCTTACCCAGGAATAGAGCTGTGCTTTGGGGGGGACATGTGAAAATTCAAGGCTGGGTTCTGCTGCAGTGACAGGTTTGTGTCCCACTGAGAAACAGCTGGATTTGGTCAATGGTCTCCTTATTAACAGGGTGGTTTTGTTATTTTTGTTTTGGTTTGGTTTTTTGTGTGGTTTTCTGTGTTCATGGTTTTTTAATATTTTTTTTTTAAATTTGATTTCTTGGAAGCCTAAGAAGTGTTTTTGGTCTTTCCTTTCTGAAATGTGGCACCCCCAGGGTGGCTGGGCTCTCCACTCCAGGCAGCATTGTCTGACCTTGCCTGGACCAAATCAGAGTTTTAAATCTGGAGCTAAGAGAGGATCCCTCCTCTCTCACTCTCCTGGGCAACCTGCGTTTCTCTCCTGAACTATAATCACTGATTTGTTGGTCTAATTTTGAGATAAAG